CACTCAGCACCACCAACAACAACAACAACAAACATGGTGGATACTTGGCCACCGCAGGCCGTTACAAGAGGCAACTGAAACAGAGAGCCAAACCCCAACCACGCAAAAAACGCCACCACCCGCAGCACCTGCAGACGCAGTTGCAACCAACACAGTGCAGCAGCCATGGTGGGTTTTGGGGCATCCCCATGTACAAGTAAGCGGCCGGTCGAGCGCAGTCAACTCCACTCACACCGCCAACAACTGAAGTAGATCTCCAAGCCAACCTCATACAGACATATTTATGGCGCTGCTCGACGGGGAGCAGCCGCTGTTGACGCAGCCGGAACCGGCAGATGAGTCTGAGCAGCTGAACGACGAGGTTGCCGAACCCCCAGGGCAACTCCACCTAAGCTCCACGGCTACTGAGAGTTGGCGAGCTTCACCTCTGCAACCGTGCGCAGCCAACCTTCAAATAGCCAAGTCTCAGCTGGTCTTAGTGTGGCAGGGACCCCAGTGCACCCTAGTAAACCGAAGTGGCAACATGTAGCACCACGGCACTACGACAATGTGGCTAGCAGGTCAGACAAACATCTTTAGGGCCCTAGTTCTAGAAAGAGAAGGGAAGTGACACCATTCAAGCGGTTGGTTGCAGCTACCCCCAGAAGTGACAAGATGCCAAAGCTACGTAGGAGTCTAATTGTGTGAAATAACAACATCACACGTTCCGCTTGCTCCATTTCACTACAGTTTTCACCCCTTCCACACTTGAAATTGCCAACACCATTGTCAACAGTATTCCCAACTACAACCCAGGGCCCCCAAAATACAGCATTGGTGCACGGCAACAACATGGTGACACCGACCATGCTGCGCTTCACATGGATCCCCACATACGCTAACTCCTTTACACTGTATTTCAGTAATGGTTGCATGTGAAGCCACGAGGGGTAACACCGACTAAGCAGCCCTACAGGGCTTGGCGGAGAAGCTCCGGGGCGATCACCTGATCGCCCCATAGCCAAAACGAAAGAAAGAAAGCCCGAAGAAAAGAAGAAGAAGAAGAGAGAGGGGGTTCTGGCCACGTATATCATCAGTGGCTCGGGGCAAAGCTCTGGTGCACCCCTTGCAGGGAGCGCACAGCTTTGAGAAGAAGAAGCAGGGATGTAAAGACATTTGTTTTTTCCAAAAATGGCGCGTCAGGAATTCACGAAAGGGCGCATGTTTGACCCCTCCAATACATGCCTGGATACATGCCCCGAAACATACCGCGATACATACCCCCACAACGTCCCTTTCGTCAAGAGCCCAGCACTACGAAACGTACCCCGAAACATACCCCGAAACATACTCCGAAACATATCCCCGAAACATACCCCAATCCAAACATGCATTGTTGACCGCGCCTTAGCCGGAAAACACCCAATTTGAGACCCACACGTTTGCAAGAGGAGCTAGCTGCCAACAAACTTTCGAAGCTCACTGACATTTTGCTTCTGGTATGCTGGGAACTTTTATGCTTTCATGGTACGGGCATGGGGGTTCGCTGGGAAATGGATGCGTAGGGATGGACATTCTTGTGGTTTTTTCATTGATGCTCCTGGGAATCGCTGTGTTCGGAGAGGCACGTTATTATTGTTTGAGCATGGGTGCTCTGGAAAATGGACAGGCGTTGTTTGATCCTATTTGCATATGCTCGGATTTGACCATGGATGGTTTGGGACATGGATGGCTGGGCTGATGAAGCGGCATTTCTGCTGCCGCTTGAAAGTGCACTTGGCACCACACTTCCGAGCTCGCGTCATCTCGTACTGTACTACACCTTCACCTTTACTGTGCGTATTGGACAGCCCCTGCGACGGCTAAGGTCCAAACGACAGGCGGAAGCGCGCAAGAAGGCATACAGTGAATTCAATCCAGTTCGTTGAAAGAAGAAGCACCAAGCCATTTCCGCTTCATACTCACGGTCACGTCTGAAAGGCAGATCAAGCCGTTGCCGCCGTGGCCTCTGGAAGCGATGACAGCGCTCGTGCACTGATCAAGGAGGCTTGGCATGGGGCGAAATACTCGGATCTCCCACTGTCTACTGGCGCATTATTTGATACACCCTTCTTCGTGCTTAAACCTGGCGTAAGTTCTCAGCTGGATAGTTGCGTTTTCTGATGCAAGGCCAAGAGATTCTGTGAGAGTTCCCTTGCATGTTGAATTGAACGCTTTCCTGTTGTCTTGTTTTATACGCTTAGAGTTGCATAGTGGAGGGTACTGAGCCAGGCACTTGGTCTCCTGCACGGCCGGGGCCGCAGAGTCTTGCACGGCAGTCCTCAGTGTGGCTTTTCCTTGCCATTCCTGCAAAGGCTTGTGAGCTGCACAGGCTTGTGAGCTTTTAATTTGTATTGCCTGCACTCTCTGGCCCGCGTGAGCGTGGTGGCAGTGCACCGGAGGCAAGGCCGGCAAGGCTCCAAGGTGCTTGGCTTTTATGTCTCCCGGCTCTGTTGTGGCTGTCGCCATGCCTGCACAGACGCAAGCCATGTGCCGCAAGGTTGAAAAAAGGGGCATGTTGTTGCTAATGCTTGAAGCGCAAGTGCAGCTGTATTGCTTGCGGTGCGACTTGAGACACGCAGCTACATCCAAGCTGGCTCCGTTTCGGGGTCTGTGGGTAAGTGGCCGTTTGTAGGAGAAGTGGCCGGCTGCTGTGCCGCACCCGGTTGATACGATCAATCTTTCAAGAATTGCCTGCATTTTTTGTTGCGCAGACTGTAGAGGTAAAGGCAACTTCTCTGTGCGGTAGCTACGATATCGCACACCAATATGAAGGAGAGCTGCTGAAAATTTTAGGTGCCTTCTGTCGGGCAAATGAAGGCACCAAGCAGTTAGCTACAAAAGACAGCCCCAGAACTTGCCATGTGTAATGATGCTGCATCTAATTCCTGCCCAAGCTGCCACCAAGACGTCGCTTTGTTTGGTCAAGAATTACCGTCCTCCGCCCCTTGAAGCAAAAGGAGCCGCACAACCCGAAAAAGAGAGCAGGACGTTGACAGCTACGTGATTTGCGACTCCAAGGCCAAGGGCTTTCCAATCCGCCATGCCCCTTGGCAAGCAGGATCCCATTGAACCTTGGAGTCAAGCCTGTGTCAGCTGGTAGTATCTAAATCTGACATTTTGATAGCTATAATGGTCATGGGACTATGTTTTCCGGCTTCTTCAGGTTTCTTCTTTAAAGTCGGGGATGTAGACACGAGTAAAACTTAGCAAACCCTTGATGAGGTAGAGAGTGGCTCGTGAGAGGCATTTCCTTGCTAAGCACTTGCTAGGCTCGGATGTTTGCTGGGGGGGGTATCTAGGGGGGGTGGAGGAAGCCATGAGGTACTTGTAGCTTCCAGATGCACATGGCGTGGCTCCATATCCCGGACGTGCCTTCAGGATCATTTGCCATCCAATGTCTTCCCTCAGGTAATGTTGACAACATCTTGACATTCTGGTCATCCCTCGGAGAAAGGGCATGAGCTGTCGAGCATAATTACCCGCTCCGCGAAGAAGCTGTTCCCGCAAAAGTCAAAAGCAGACGGCACATGCAGCTGCAACTGAGGTTAGCAAAGGATTTGAGGCGAGGTGGAATTGCAGCTCGCGCGCCGGGAAAGCACGTGACAGCCTGCTTGACGTCAGGAGCTGTTTGGGTATGATGCATCCGAATGCGTGGCGTGGCTGCATTTGACATGGACACACATTTGCAACACGCTGCTCTTTTCCTCGCTCGACGCCAAAGGTCGGCATGCGCTGCGGCGACATGATCGGCGGTCCCTGGCTGAGCCATGCGGACTGCAGACCTGATCTTGTGGCAAAAAGTGGCAAAGCGTCCCCACAGGTGGCAGCCTGCTGAGCCACAAGCCTGGCATGGCCATGCTGAGCAAGGTGCGCAGATGCTGTTTTAGGCAAGCCCCAGCCATCCTAGGCTTTCCCGGCAGGTATTCATGTTTTACAAGCAGCAGCAGCAGCAGCAGCAGCAGCAGCAGCAGCAGGAGCAGCAGCAGCAGCCACGAAAGGCAGCAGAAGCAAGAGGAGCAGGAAGGAAGGGGAGGAGAAGGAGCATGCAGGAGCAGACTACATGCAGAAGCGACCTTTTCATGAGTGCTTCACAGCCGCCGCAAGCCCCAGTCTCACATGTCTTGATCGAGGTGGCAGCTGACTTGGGCCTATCAGAAGAGCAGGCCAGGGGAGTGCGCAACGCCTTGGAGCAGCAAACGCATTTGAAGTGGCAAAACCCAGGATTCCAAAATTCCAGAAGCTAGCAGGTTCCATGCTTGCCTCCTGCATTGCAAAGCAAGGGCGACACCGCGGCTTTGCTTCACCCGCACGGCCGAGTACACTTTACACTGTACCTAGTGCGGTCTTTCGGTCTCCAACAGGAGCTTCCTCCAACAGGGCTATCCTTGGGTTCAGAGCAGCTTTAGGGTGACAGTCTCCTTGCTGACTGCCGCGTGCTAAGGAGGCCCAGGGGAGCGACGGAGTGTAGGACAGTGGAGGGATGGATGGACGCGCTCGTCTCCTTGCTAGTCCAAACAAACATCATGAGCCTGTGACGTTGGCATAGGAGGATTTGCCGGGCACATATGACATGCAGAGCAACGAGCAGCTACAAAGCGTTTAGCCACAATCCTGGATGTGGTCATGATCTGCGACATGGTTCTCAGATTCTGGCCGACAGTTCTGCAACCTCCATACCGTATCCTCCTTACGCAGACCAAACTGCCCAAGCTGCCAGTCAGAATGTCATATCATTCCTGACAACATCTCGAAGTTGCACGGGACATTGCCGCACGGGCATGCACTTGAGGAGGGTTGTTTTCCTGTTTGTGAAGTTACGTCTCGGCATCGGCTAGGCAGTTGATTGCGCATGGTGCTCGAACACGACAAGACTGGGATATGGAAACCGCAAGATTCTAGACTGCTCTCCATGAGAAATTCTGCACTGCGCCACGCAATCCATTGGTCCAGCTGCTGTTTATAACTTCTGGCTGTTCAAGGCCAACGCGGGCATGAAGCGAATGACCAAAGCAGCCGAGGAGGTGCTGGAGGGTTGGATCCTTGAGACTTGCGCTGTTGCGATGGATTTGCCCCGCAGGCTGTGCAAACTGCCCTGGCCTCAGAAAAAAAGCCATGGTCTACGAGCTATGTCGCCTTGAATCAGGTCAACCAAGGGGGGTCCTCCCAATCCGTATTGCTCATCAACACAAGGCAGCAAAGTGTCAGATGCAGCAACCAGAAACCCATTTGAATGCAGACTGCCACTGCAGGAAGAGCGGAGAGCTGCTTGCCTTGCAAAGTGTTTTGTGCTATGATACACCATGTACATTTCAATAATTTTCAAACATTTTTCCTGACCAAGGTTGTTCGTTTGCGAAATGTCCCTCTGCAAGAATCAGCATCCCACCACTGGCTGGCCAACACCTCATGCAACAGCTACGCCCACATCTCCAAGGGAGGGGGGCGCGGTTTCTCTGAGGTACTACCATGCGGGCATTCAGCGGGCCACATGCTTGGACCTGTGCTTGGCACGGAAACTTTGACAAAAATCTGTCCTTAGGATGTCTCTGACCGCATTTCGGTCGAGACGCTCCTTAAGGCTGGCTTGGCCTTGATAACTTCAACTTCATCTCCCATCGCTGTACATCAGACCGCAGGCAGCTTCAGAAGGCATCTCCTATGATGAGATTTGTCGAAAGTGGAGGACGCAAGTTTCTACTAGTTACGCCCAAGCGCAAAACGCAGATTACCCAGGACCAGCACAGTGCTTGCAGAGAAGCTTGGTGGGCCCCACAGAACACAGACTTCTGAACATGCCTTGGTAGCATCGCTTCCACAGGTTCTTCTCAGCAGGACCTTCACTCCATTGCAGAGCAAATGCTAGAAACTCAGGGCCTCACCTTTTTTCCTGATCGGCAGCATGCTGAATTTACGTCCCACGTCCCACGCTGCAGGTGGAAAGATGAGCTCTCAAAGGTCTTCAAAAAGAAGGCAATGGAAAAGCAGAGAGCGATGACAGGAGCTATGCCCGTAGAATTGCATGTGGTGAGGATAGCGCAAAGACAACCGCGCCTGACACAGACATGAGATCTGTGTCCGCCCCCTGAAACATGTTGAGAGTTCAACCTCCACGTCGAGTTGCGACTGTAGATCTGGTTTTGGATGCGATTTTTTAGTTGAAGCTGTTGAGGTGGAGTCGGAGCACTGCGTCTACCATGCACAGCCACCGATCGAGGAGCTCGCGAAATGACAGCACCAAGGCCTCTGGATTTTGGGATGAGGAACTCCTCAAACAAAAGCTAGGACTGCTAGGACTAGGGCCATGGCAGCGATGTGAGCCTTCGCTTGCAAGGGCGATTCAGAGCAGAAGATTCACCACCTTGGTGCCCTCTTCGGAACTGCCCGTAGCCCCAAAACACGTGGCTGCAAACTCTGCGAAAACTCTTTACAGTGGCATTCCAAGGTCATTTCGTCTGACTCCAGCGCAGAAGAGAAAGAGAAAGCCGAGAAGTCAGAGAAGTCGGAGAAGTCGGAGGAAAGCGGACGCTTTCTGGACCTCCTGGAGGGTTGGGCCCCCAACCTTGCAACAAGGGTCTTGGCAACTTCAGCAACTTCCTGAGCTACAGCCATGGGCCTGGGAGCATTTTGAAATGGTCCAAGGAGAATTCTCGGATGATGAGGGTGACTGCGATGGCAAGGCAGGTAAAGTCATTTTCCGGCGGGCGACGTTGACTTCACCGACAAAGGGGCTTCACTCTATCCATTGTTGTTTTTTTCTTCGGAGTAGCGCTTGCAACGCCACTGCCAGGCCGTGAGTCCAGTGCACGCGCCTCCAGTTACCATGGACTTGGCACCCCCGCCTTTATCAATCGAGGGCCTACGCCAGCGTTCCTTGGCTTGGAGAGAGCGAGCAACTGCAAGATGTGAGTTGCTCCTCGAATTCGTTAAGCAAGGTGATATGGAAGAGCACGTGTCGTTGAAAAGTTGGCAGTCGGAGGCTAGAAGAGTGCAAATCGTTTTGTTGGAATGTTGACAAAGAGCGCAGAAAGTGTTGATGCTCTCCTTCTGAACACACTTCTGAACACACAGGAGTTCAAGTCCGTGTCCGACCAGTCCGAACATGACGAGGAGTGGCAATTAAAACCAAGCCATTTTCGCCATGTATGTCACGGTTTGACATCCGTAGGTTGGCGTGGGCAATTGCGCTGCAAGGAATGCGGAACGCTATCAACAGAAGACAATTCTCCGGTGAGCGATACTTCACTGATTTGTGACGAGGTGCAGGAGTGGGCGTAGAGCAAGTAACGCTTCATGACAGAGAAGCTCCTGTTGTGCGGATTTCAGCCTTTCAGTAAACTTGCTGTCGCAAGCAGGGTTAAAAAAACCGGCCACGAAGCTCAACAACATTCTCTTGTAGCGCTTTAATCCATAAGCTGTAGTACGAGCTAAGTGCCAAGGCAGGGGCACTCATATTTCCCAAGCCTGCTTGTGACTGGCTCTGTGAGGATGAAGTGATTTCTACACACTGCACACATTGGCATACATGATACGTCTTACACGTGACACAATTCACCGCAGGCCCCCACCTGAGCGACACTTAGCTGCTACCGACCCAATGGCAGAGACTCAACTTTACCCCCTTTGCTCAGCTGGGAAGTTTTGGGTTGCAGCATTCGGTTTGGGGGCCACAAGTTGCTGTTTGCTGCGAGGACCCGGCGAAGCATGTGTCAGGCCTTTGCGCGCCTATTGTTCTTACGCATTACATTCACTGATGTTGCTTTGCTGCTTTCTAAGGGTGAGTTCATCACATTGGTTTACAGTTGCTCGAAGTGGCTCGTGTCCGAGTTGGAGGATAATTTCGAAAGGAATCTCCTTGCCTAGAGCACCTACGCGATGAGGATGATCATAATGATGTTGATGATAGTGGTCAAATGTCGATGGTGAGGAGGAGGAGGCGGAGGACGAGGGTTAATAGCACTAGCATTGTTGTGAGGCAGAATTGTCCTGCGCAATCTAGACATCCCCTTGGCCGTGTGCCTGGAAACAGATGATGGTAATGCAAAGCCGGATGCCGCGGTACAATGCTGAGGTGATTGCAGCACCGACTATGACAGGCTTCCCCGTGGTTTTGCGCAGTCAAGGCTGTGCCCACCGGCCAAATCCAAATGCCTCATCCTCATGATTCTGTGCAGGTTTTGAGGACCTAGCAGGGCCAGAAGCTAAGCGCAAACGAAGATGTCGCCTCTACAGATCATTGACTGATAGCGCCGTGTTCGGCTCCCAATTTCAGAGACAGGCCATCGCTTCAAGTCAAGATGGGGACCCAAGCGAAGCATTCGCCGGACACCCATCCCTGCGTTGTGCTCACCTGTGGCGGACAGATGCAGCTCAATGGTGCTTCGTAGGCTTCAACCGTCCAACGCTCGTGCGCAGTCGATCTGGGCGGACTTTTGTGAATCCGCACCTGACCCAGACGCGAAAAAAGACTTGCGTGTGAGCAAGGCGAACTCATGAAATTTATAAGCCAAGTCCATGTCTTAGCAACTGGCCTTCTCCCACCTCTCCCTTCCCCCATGCATCCCTCCACTGTGGTCCCTTCAGCTGAAGCTCTCTCCTTGTGCAGAGATTCTATTTCAGGCTGTGCGCGGGCACTTCTTCGTACATCCAGGGACAGGCAAAGTGCAGACCTTGATAGCAACTCATGTGGCATGCGCAGATCTTCCTCGTACTGTCATACAGGTGGAGGCATTGCCATCCTTGAGGGCATGGGTGACATCACGCCCCCTTTTTCAAGATATCTCATGATTTCTCAGGTCAAGATGGTTCACCTCTGCTGAAATCTAAGGCTTCCTTCTGGAGAGCTGGCCTTTGTGCAGCCCTTCCACGGTAGGCCAGGTAGTAACATTTAGGCCTTGGGCATCTTGCCGCGCCTCAGCGCCTCAGCTTCAGCAGGTTTGGGAATGTGATCGATTGTGAGCGGCCAAGCCTATGGGCGTGAGCTCTGCGAGAATCTGACACACGGCGCTTCCTGCGTGCTCTACTTCTGAGGTTTGGTTTACCTGAAACAGGCTCGCTGCGTCACTACGCATGTCTGTGCGGCGAAGCAGTCTTGCAGTTTCTTGTCGGCCCTGCAAGTGAGGTGGAGTTGGACGATTGCCCCTACCTCTTAGCCCTGCACTCCTACTTACCGCGGGAATCTCAGGACGAAGAACGGAGGCGCCTAGTTGCTTTAGCCCAGGGTCGCGAAGTTAGCTCCTGTTGCCCGAGGCAACTGGACACGGACATGGAGAAGGATCGTCTACGTCTGCCAGGAACCTCAAAGCATGGCAAACTGGAGTACAGAGCGTTTATTTCGGATAAGCCACCAATTAGGGCCTGTTGTGATGATGTCATTACCGTTTCCTGAGAGCCGTCTGACAGTCCTGATGCACTCAGGTTGGATTCTGAGTTCTACAAGGTTGGGATGAGGCTGGACGAGGCCAAGTTGGCACACCTTTGAAATGTGACAAACGAATGGCCTTGTGATTGATGGGTGAGGTCATTTCTGAGTTGGCCTCCGAGTTTTTCTACTATGCGCCGATGCGTCGACAGCGGCCACCCGAGATGTAAGGGGGTTTGGAAGGATGTTTGGCGGTCAGGCATGGTGAGGGTTGGAAGATTTTGCAAGCTTGAATCCTGAGGAATACGCTGTATCCGCGGCGCGAGCAGACTTGCCAAGATCATGTGCTTCCCTCAGGATACACGGGGCCGCTGGTGGTAAATGTGGGTACTGCCAGAGCGTCAACTGTCTCTTCAGGCATTGCTTGACCTTCTCGTGCATGAGCTCTGAGGAGGGTACCCTACCTGCCTCATAGAGTCTCGTGTCAGTTGAGTCGTTGCAGCGTTCGCAGCGCCGAAGCTTCCTAAGCATTCCCACAGAAGCAGTTGGAGGTACGAAGGTTGGACTAACCTGAGCATTAACAGGTCCTGTATTGAGCCACGGGGAGTGCACAGCGCTGCGGCACTGGAAATCTGACGCAATGTGGTCAAGTAGTACCAGTGCACATGCGCAGGGAGCAATCGACCCAGAGTGAGGAAGGAGTGCAACCATAGTCGAAACGTCAGTCAAGTCATGTCAAGTCCGATTGAGTCGTGCAATAGCTAATAGCGAGGGCCCAAAATCTGCCGAGCCTTCTTCCAACATACTTGGGGTTGACTTGCATCCGATAACTTGGAAATCTTTAGCTGGTCCTGAGAAGTGTTTCAGGGGGTCAAGTCCTGCCATGGCCTGCATAAAGGACTGCGAGTCTTCGGTTGACTTAGCTTAACTGACTCTTCAGCGGTTAAAAGGGTAGTGAGCATCCTGAGAACCGCCTGCGACCCGCAAGTGCGTCGCAGCGCGCCGCAGCTCCTGTCTAGCGCAGGTGCCCCGTGGGATCACCTCCCCATGAAGTTCGCCTACCGCTCTGGTTCTGCAAAATTCAGCCGACAAGCTTCACCTTTTTGCAAACTGGACAGCAGGTAGGTTGTTTCTTACATGTCTCCTACGTTCGGCCCAGCCCAAGCTCTTCCGAACGCTGAATGAAAGACAGATATGGACCTTTCGGGTTTGGGTAATTGCTCTATGTTTGAGTGCGTTGTATGTATGGCTCTACGTCTGAGTGTGTTGTGTGCGTGTCGCGGCTCTTTTGAAGCCTGCTATGCGCTGTTGCGGGCCGATTTTCAATCTCAGGTTCCCCAGCGTCTTGCAGCAGCCGGTTGTTCATCATCTGTGTAGACGGGGACTGCATACAAACTTCTAGTCACGAATCATGAGTGAAACATGGAAGGGAATTCAATGAGCCATCTGCGGCATTTGTTACTAGGCGCTGGTAGATTTTGAACTTTTGTTTCGGGTGTTGCTGAGATGCCGCTGTTGATGCGTGTCAACCATGGCATGAGTAGCACGCTTTCGCTTTCACCGCTTAATGCTTGCTAACGGCATGTCAGGGGCAAGACCACTTCGTTCCACACACTGCATGCGCGAAACGGCTCAAAGAGCTGTGGAGACCTGCTCACATGCTGGGCATGCCTGACCTTTCTATCAACTCTGTAGAGCTCTCATCAATCCAGCATCTGGGCAGAGCCTTCTCGCACGAATCGTTGCAGTCGCCGGACCCACAGACAACACATAGGCATCTTAAGCTTTATACAAGCAATAGGCCAATAGGCGACTTTGTACTGCGAAGGTGGTGAAGCATGAACATGTAACGTTGGTGCTCTGCCAGTCACAGGTCTTATAGAAGGGTGGTTTCGGGGCAGCTTATGCAGGTAGTTGTCGAATTGCGTTTCTTGGAGCCTTCCATTCTGCTCGACATGTACAACTCGATACGTCATTTGTACTTCGTTACCTCGAATACCGCGACGCGGTGCACTGCTCTGGACACAGCACTCGCGCTGCGGAAGCTGTGGGTCCACAGTATGAAAGTTACACGAAGCAGACACCTACATGACCACGTGACTTGACTCAAAATTGGTTTGAATTCATGAGACGTGGTTTGCCATCATCTTCAACCAGGAGTCAAGCGCGTGACCGCCAACACAAATCAGTGTAGATTCCCTCTGGGCAGCAGCAGCTTCCAGTCGTTGCGATGGATCGATTGAGCTAGTGCCACCATGTGCCACCCAACTTCTTATGCCTATGCTGCCGCCATGCCCAGATTCATTCTTTCTGCCTTCCAAAGGCTTTGTTTCGATCAGCTGTGTACAGCACGCGCAGACTGAATTATCGGCATGGCAAGTCTGAGACGTGGGCATTCTGCCAAAAACAGCATCAATGAACCAGATCAATAAGATCAATAACAGTGTTTTCAATTGCGGGGCCCGAGGCTTGCTTTCCAGGAAATGGACAGCATGGGGCTTCACAAGAAGGACTTGCTGCCTGCGCCAGCCGATTCGGAGGAGCCCGACCAGATGTGCCGAACAGGTGGTAGAGAAGGTTTTCTTCCACCATTCATGCCCCTTGCAGGCAGCGCATAGCTGCTCTGAAGGGACGTCCCTGGTCTGAAGGCTATCGACTCTTTAGCTTTGGCAGAATTATGCCTAGGCTAGGCCTATGCCACTCGCACTTGCTGAGGTGTCTGGCACTGATCCAACACAGAAAGTTCAGTGTACGTTCGGAGTCTTCATGTCATATGGCAGGAGTTGAGCTCTGCTGGTCAAAAAAGCACATAGCCATGGGTGAAGGAGACTGTTTGCGCCTTGTTTGTGCTGCTGCTTGGGCATTCTCCCGCTTAGTCCTTGTGATCCTGATATGCTTCGAGACATTAATCGTTGGACACGAAGACAAAGACTCTCATAGGATGAGCAATCCCGTGAATTGAAAACAGAAGTAGTGAAGCTCTCAGCTGGTACGCAGTAAGATGATACCACACTCCTTTTCAATGCATTTGTCTGCCAAAAGAGGCGGAAGGCATTAGGGTCAGCGACAAGAGGGGTCTGTGACGGAGGATCCGTTAGGTGTTTGAGCCATGGAGGTCGACGCCTCCGATCCTTTGCGCTCTATCCCAAAATCTCCGGTGGTCATCCTGATGATTGGCATGGCAGGGAGCGGGAAATCAACCTTCATGCACCGAATGGTTGTGCGGCTGCAGTCAAAGCAGAAAAAAGTTTACACGGTCAACTTGGACCCCGCCGTCCGGAATTTGGCCTACCCAGTAAACATCGACATTAGAGACACCGTTAACTACAAGGAGGTCATGAAACATTTCGGGCTTGGTCCCAACGGTGGCATCATGACATCGTTGAACCTGTTTGCTACAAAGTTTGACCAGGTGCCTTCTAGTCGGCGTTGTTTTATGGATGTTTATTTACATGCTCCAGATAGTGGCAAAACATGGTGCATGCTTGCCGGTAGGTTTTACAGTTAAACCAGGTGTTGGCAATCCTTGGCCGCCGCGCAGAGTCCTTGGACTACGTTCTCATCGACACGCCGGGGCAGATCGAGGTAGGTGCAGTGCAGCTTCCATAGCGTTGTTTCTTGTAATTCCTGCCAGCCTGACAGCCTTTTTGTATGAGTGGTGAGGTCTTCAACTGGTCCGCCTCCGGGCAGATCGTGTGCGATGCTCTCGCGGTTACATACCCCACCCTCGTGTGCTACGTGGTGGACACTGCCAGGTGTGTGAAGCCTGTGACGTTTATGTCCAACATGCTTTACGCCTGCTCCATTCTTTACAAGACCAAACTTCCCTTCATCATCGCCTTCAACAAGACACCCGGTCTCGGTGGTTGGGAGAGTCTAGATGGGAGGCTTGAAGTGTTCTTCCCGAAAGCTAAGGACTGACGTGATTCCCCATGACTTCCTGAAGGAGTGGATGGAAGACTTCGAAAAGCTCGGAGACGCACTGAGCCGCGAGACCTCCTACGTTGCAAGCCTGGCAAGGTCCATGAGCCTGGCCATGGAAGAATTCTATAGCAACCTCAGGCCTGGGCCCGAGCCACCCAAGAAAAGACGATGACCAATCCCTCCGTCACTTTGTAGGAGAGACAGTTGCCATGTTTGCAAATTCTGCAGTATTGTGAGCCTGGAAAAGAAGACATAACATTAGAGCACTGAGCCAAGACGTTGGCCAAGACTTTGAACCAAACTCATCGACAGCAAAAAGAGAGGCACGGTGTCATGTTAAATCGCCGAGGCGGTTTGCATGACCCAGTTTGCAATCCGCCCTCTATGAGCTGGGATTGGCTTAAAGCCATATTGGCCGAACGTGTGGAGGTTCGTGTTTATGTGGCCGTGGCTTCACCTAGACCATAGCACGCAAGAGCAAAATGCCCGCCTTTATTTGGCTTCCTCCTACTGTTGTCAGTGCAGGGACGGTGAGTCCCCGTCAACATCCCGCTGGTGGAGCTTGTTGTGGGCGATCCAAATTCTCGATTCGCTGAAAAACAAGATGAAAGCGATGTGATAAGGTTTTAAAGGTAACGTTCACATGCCCAAGCCCTTGCAAAATATGAATAAGAAATAGAAACGTAATGATAGGCTTGAAAATAAGATTAAAGACAAAAGATAGGGCTTTGAATACGGCTTGAAAAGGATTAATTACTTACTGCGAACTTACTATGCTTGCGTTGTTGTGATGTTCTGCTCTACTGCACTTCTCTGCCACTATGCTCATGCCCTGGCCTTCTACTGCGCCCATGTCATGCAGAGCAGCTCTGCATATTGGATTGCCTGCCGCTATGTTCACCTGGAATGGGCTAGCATTGGGTGTCGGGGGCTGCCAGTATGGAAGTACAATGGCCTACTATGGTGCTTGCGTCGTAAACCTGCTGATCTGTTTATGTTTCCAACTGTTACCGGCTCAGGTTTTGACTACAGTGTCTGCAAAGTTGGCATGATGGACGGCTATGCTCATGTCATGGCCTATTACTGCTATTGCTATGCTAATGTAAGATGGCTTGCTACGATACTCTTTTTCTGGACTTGTGCTACGCATGTACCGTCATCAGCGTCTGGTCCTAAGTCTAGCCAAGCGGCTGGTCCAGCCGGAGGCCCAAGTAGCTTCGCTTTCGCTCTCTATCAAGTCTTGATATTCTTAGCCTGAAATCGTGTTGAATTGGGGGCGCTTTTCATTAACGCATTTAGCTTCGGGAAATGGGAGGCTGGGGTCCCTGCAGGTCTGTCGGCGTCTCGGCAGTGACAGGCGCTGGATGCGAGGATTTCGAGAAAGCCGTGACAGACGCCTGTCAGGAGCTGGCAGTCTTAAGAAACGCTGTCGAAAGGTTTTTCAGTTGCCAATGCTGCAGGAGTTCGAGGATAGCTACGTACCCTTCCTGCTGGAACAGCGGCGGGACCTCGAAGCCAAGCGCAGCGCGGCTGTTGAGGAGCAGGCCCAGCTCCACACATCATTTGTTGCAACAAGTCCTTGCTCCTGGCTTTTGAAGGTCAAAGCCTTCGAGCGTGGTTTGGATCGTGCAAAGCGAGGGCACCAGGAGATGGGCAGGGAGGACATGGAGCAGCTCCTTTTGGCCGCATTACAGGCATGCCACATGTTGCGCGCCCAAATTAGAACAACGCTTCCAAGGCTTGAAGAGGACGTTCGGAACTTCTCCATCGCAGAGAATGAGATGGATTAGAGGGATCTGGATGTCTCGCCCCAAGACGAAAACCAGTGATTGTTTTGCAAGCTTGGACTGGCGAGCTCGAGGCACACACATTTGCACACGTGGTTTCTACATGTGCAATAGAGGTGGATTGCAAGCTTGGTGTCCGCAGCTCTGTTTGCTTATCAGTTTCCCTCTTAGGCGTGCCCCTCAGCTCGATAGGAAGTTCGAGTGCAGATTCCCTCGCCTGAGTGTTTCCATAAGAAGGCCTGGACGGGAAAGGCAGCACTAGCTACAGCGCAAGTAGACGTGTTCCGATTTGTTTTGGGTAGGGGCCCTTCTGCGAATTCATGCCCAGCATGATCTTTGGCTTTGCAGGGATCAGAGTGTTTGTCCGGGACAATGGCATTGATTTGGCTCCTGCTTGGCCTGGCTGTCGTGGGGCACCGAGTCAGACGCCAAAGAATGCTCATGCGCCTGTCTCGTTGGTTGCAAAACTACACAAGCTTAAAGGTGGGTGCTGTCCGCGACTCGGACATGCAGCTGGAAAGCAGTGACTCACATGGGCACCGTGGGCACCGGAGCTTCAGCAAGCAGATAAGAGCATGGATGTTGGTGCAGGATCTTTTGCAAAGCCGCAGCTCTTTCGAAGCACAGGAAAAGCCACCACAAGGCGCACCACCACCATCATCACAAGCACAAGGATGCTACCAGATTCCGGTCCAAGACAGCAAGAGCCATCCTGGAAACTTTTTTTTTTAACAGGACATGCACTCTGACGAGGCTGCAGAAGCCAATGAAGGCGGGGAACGGCCTGGGAACCCAAGCTGCCAAGCTGTAGTGCACTGAGAGTGTCCTAGGCTTTGACAGCGCTTTACCGTCCGCTCTTCCTACTCCGCCCACTCCACCTGCCCGCTGCGGGCTCAGTGATTTTGCCCAGCAGCTTAGCCAGCTTAGCATAGTGCGTTGCTTTTCGCGTTGCTTTAGTCTCTCAGGGCAAGCGGAGCCCTTTGCTGTGGGAAGCCTGCTGACGGCCCACCAGCATCGGCAACATCGCCACCATTTGGCCAGCTCTGACTTCTCTGACAGCGACGCATGTCAAGAGGACGAGTTACAAGGGGCAGCGAGCAGTGGACTTCAGTGGACTTGCGGAATCTTACGAGTTGGCACTTCTCGAGGAGGTTGATTTGCACCAGCCGCAGAAGCTGTTGGAAGCTTTGCGGCGCTGCCTGGAAGCGAGGCAAGGGTCCCACGGTCCCACACTTCATGCCCAAGACCACCTGATAAAATGCTGCAGGAAAGAGCTCTCCATCAAAACACAGGAGCTGCTGAAGGAAGAGAGCTCCGGCAGCGCAGCAGTTCCATAGTCTTGCAGCACTCCGGAATTGCAGCTGAGGAAAGAGGGAGGCAAGATTTATGCCACGGAAGTTACAGGAATCATGAACCTCATCAAGAAGGTGCAGGATGCCAACAGTGCCTCGGCTTGCATTGAACTTTTTTTGAGGAAGCTCTCATTCTTGAGCATTCTTTTGCCAGGACCTACCTGGAGCTGGTCCTACCCTCATGCAAAGCTTGCAGACAAAGCGAGATTTTATCTTCGAGCAGGACCTAGCACTTGTTGTAAGGAAATGAAAAACTGGCAGACCTGCCAATCCTAGGCTATTGAGCGGAAGCTGGAATCTGAACGTGTAACTCCTACCATCGGAGGTCAATTCTTCACGTAATTTGGTGTTGTAGGATAGGGACGGCGACCCTAACTCCTCAACCCGGTCCACGCAATCATCGCCGAAACGACCTGGGCACCATTGACAAAACGCTTGGGGTCTCCTGTTAATTCAAGGAGCAGCGCGAAAAAAAAAAGGTGGAGCTTGGAGCTGCCCACATAGAACCCATGTACCCTGCCCAGCTTGGAAAAAGCATGTGGGCTGAGGAATGGATGAGCCGTGGAAGAAGGACCACGCGCAGGCTCACAATGATTTCATTTTGTTGCCATCGTCAATGCTTTGCTCTACAGGTCCTGGCGCAGCTTCTAGAGCAGACAGGTGAAGCAGAGCGCCCTCCCCGGCATTGAAACAAAGGGGCCCCAAAGGGCTTTCAAGATCATGTTGGATTGATTTGGCATCCTGGGATTCTGAGGAAGGAAGCAGAGGCTGTTTGGCAAGAGAAGCCCGCAGAAGCCTGAGACGTAGCCTACAAAGCTGGTGGGTCCAAGGAAAACGGCGCATTTGCATGTGAACTGCAATGAAGGCTTAGCAAAACAGCTCAAAAAGCAGGTTATCTTGCAGGTTGCCCGCATTTGCCCCGCTTAAGATGCCGAGTGCATGCCTTGATGCGGTAATTTGCCAAGTTTTGTGTGCCAAGTCTGGCTCATCATGAAGCCTCAGGGGGGGTGCATTGATCAAAGGCTTTTTCACACCATTAAGCTGTTTGTGGGGAGGAAGGAGAGAAAGGCAGGTGGACACCCAGTTGGATCCAATGGCTACGTTCTCTCCTCCCTCGCTGCCGCTTCTTCACGTGGCATGGGCCCGAGATCTGACCAAGATCTGCCCCCTCATGGCGCAGTATGGCGCATGTGGCTTTGAAGCAGGTGTCAGTTTCGTTGGAGGAGCCTATCGATGGCATGGGCCCCGCTTGCGCGATCATGGTTGCGCTGTTCAGAGCTCTTGATGCAAAGGTCACGCGCCAGATGGCAGTCCAGATCCAATGGAGCAGTTTCAAGCCAGACACAGCACATTCTTTGACACAGGGTCGGGTCCTCAAGCATTTGAGCAATCGGCACCCTGTGTGCAGCCGCCTGCAGCTCTGACAGTTTCGGGGCCTGCAGCTTCGAACATTCCGAAAAGGGAGGCAGCCAGGCGAGCAAAGTCCGCGCTTCCGACTCTCGTGAACAACGAGAAGATCCAGTGCAGCTGCCAGCACTGCAAGAATGCAGTTTGCGCTGCCAAGGACCCTCAGAGATGATACCTCTGTTGCCCACGACATGTTACAGACCTTGTGAAATGACGATTCAGAGGACAAGACCTCGAGGTATCGATTCAACTTGTCGCTGTACCAGAATGGCCACCCTGGTGGCCTCTACTTCGTCGGATGCGAGGACGCACGCAGCAGGGCTGCATTGTGGGGAGAGGGCCTAGAAAAAGCAAATAGGTATCAAACAAGAGGCATCAACAAAAACACATAGAGATCAAATGAGAAATCTGGATACTGTGGCTCAGTAAAGCTCAACAAAACATGGGCTTTGGCAGTAAAGCTCCGCAGAATACTGGATTTTGTAGTAATACTCAATAGTTGTAGCGACGCAAAGCTTGTGATTAGGGACATGCAGAAGCATGGGGAAGCTCGGTGGCGAAGAGTTGCGGCTTGAGCACCCCCAAGCAGAAATTTGAGATAGGCAACCTGAGCCATGTCTTGCGCTCGTTTGGATGTTACGCATGCTTATGAGGGGCTCGGGGCCTGGGGTGATGTGCAAGGAGCCGGAGGAGCTCGTGTATGATAGGATGTTCGAGGGGGCTCGGCGCGGACTGATCACTCTTGATGACTCTTTGTCGGAGCCTGACCGCAGGGGCATTCGGCCAGCGATCGATCTCTTGGCATGTCTTAAGTTGGGGGAGCCTAAGCCGATTGCTAGAGCTTGGCAGCGCAGGCGCCTTTGACTGGAGGGCGCAATGCCCAGAGGACTTTCACGTTCCGGTCCCAGGCTGCAGGTGTTGGTTAGACTCGGTTAGACCGTTGAGTGCCACAGCAGTGGCCCTGGCTCGGGTGGTGGACAGTAATCGAATCGACTGAGGTCTTGCTGACATGTTGGCCCCTTGCATTCGCGCAAATTTTCATGTTGATCTTGGCACATGGGATTTGCATGTCGCAGAGGTTGAGAGTCATGGCCCAAGAGCTCTGGGAACGCCTTAGGGCGACAGGCTTACTGGACGTGGCGCCTTGTCTCTTTGAGTATGGAGTGCGATCAGTGGCGGATATCTGTGCGTGGGCGGGCCGTCCCGACTACATCGATGTCACTTTGAGGCACCCGTGCGCGATCAAATACGTCGCTCAAGCGGCGCTGGGTGACGGGGCGGCAGCGCGTGCTGCCGAGGCGGCCAAGCGGGACCGCTACCTAGTCCTTTCCGCGGAGGACTCGACGCAGCGATCCCGTTTGTCTTGGAAACGTTTGGGCGCCTCGGCCCGGCCGGGCTCCGCTTGCTCCGGCAGGCCCGGCAGAGCGCGGCGGAGCAGTCGCGCCCTTACCAGACCTGGGCGGGGGGCCCAGCAATGCAAAAGTGGCTCTCGCAGCTGAGCTGCTCGCTCCAGTGCAGTGGTCCCTGTATAAGTCTGCTTGCGCTTGCTGGGGGGCGGCAGGACCCCTGCCACCTGATCCAGCTGGGCTGAGCGCTGTCGCGCGTAATGGGGCGTAAGGGGCTGGGGTAGAGCGAGCACACGCCGCCAAGTTTTTAGCTGGACTTTCCAATTTTTGAACTGAGATCCTGTAGTGGTCCGCGCAGTGAAGCGGGGGTCGGGGCCCTGCCGAGCTCAAAGATCCTTTCGACTCCAAGACTCTGAAGATTTTGGTGGACCTGGCAGCGGTCCTACGTCCTTGCCACATATCGGATCTTGAAGGTACATGGTACATGCTACGCGATCGAGATCAGCAATGCGCTCCCTCGACACTTGTACTTCCAACGGCGAGTTGGAGTTGGTGTATTTCCTTTGCCTGTGACAAAGACGGAGTCGCAAGGCAACCTGACGGTGCGCACATACTCCTGTGTGTGCAGAGCCAGGCTGGAGCTCTTATGCCCCTACCATGCTTCCACAAAACACCTTGAGCGCCTTTTGCCTTCTTGCCGACTCGCCGACCGCCGACCGCGATGGCCCGTGCGAGTTCCTTATCCGGATGCAGACCTACAGCCGCTGCGGAAGGTGCAACTCATCCAGATACTGGAACGGGTCTTGGAACAGGCCAAGGTTCCCATCACGAGGCCGGACGAGACAAGCCGTCCGGTGGCTTGTTTCGGGGGACACGCCATGAGAGTCAGCGGGATTCGATTCTTAGCTTCGTTGAACATTCCGTTGCCTCAGGTCCAATTGGAAAGTGGAGCAGCAGGGCCATCAGCCGTTACGCGCAGCTTGCACCCCTCTTGAAGCTTCCTCAGACGGTCAGGGCGAAGGAAGCAGAACCAGTCGGACACAGACTCCTGGAATCGTCCGTGGCGCCCATACCAGCAGCGCCAGGCATGGACGTAAGGAAAGCTGCGACAGATGTGGGAACCAGCAACCAAGATCACGTTGGGGAGCAGTGGCCCTCTCATCTTGCTCACTTCATTGGCGTGTAGCCTGAAGAGAGCTTGGCAGCTGAACTGCGGCGCGTTGATCCGAACGTCACGCATTGTCATAACTGGAGGGCCCTGCCCTCAATACAGCCGCATCACGGAAGGCCCTGGCAGAGAGAGGCTGATCAAGGACAGCTCTTCGGCATCATGTGTGACTGATCGACGCGTTGGTGCCCTTGATTCATTGATTCCGGGCCGCCCTGAGCTTTCTGACAGAGAAGATGTACATGAATGCTTACGGGCCTACGGCGACATCCGGTGCTTCAAAAGCCGGCTAAATCTAAAGACCGACGAGGCGAGATTAGTCGACGCAGCCGATTATGGGCTGGTATCACGGCCCAGATTGTGGTGGGCAGAGTAGATTGGTCGCAGTGCGCTTCGTATCGAGGGTCGAAGAGCGGCAGAGTGCATCGCTGGCGTGTGCAGACAGAGCCTGAGGAACTCGTGTTTCATGGCGCAACGGAGTATAGCATCTTTCCTCTTGGACATAGTCTTGACGCATGGCGTGTTCGTTGTGCCGCAGGAAGTTCTGTGCCAGTCGCTGGGCATCAGCCGAAAAGCGTCAAAGAAGCCGCCGTACAGGCGCATTACCTATAACTAGGGTGAAGCAGCCTGTGCAGGGCGGAATGTCTCCAGCAAGCGACATGTGGGATCACTGGAGAACAAGCTCGCTACCGGTACCCCAAGCGTTGCAGCGTCAGCCCATAGAACGCCATAGAACCTGCCTGGAGGTCTCGCTTAGCTCGCGCAGTGTTGGAAATGGACGTCGACCTTGGCCAGACGCCGCAATATGGTTCTCGAAGGAGTGTTGGCGATAGTGGATGAACTGAGCCGGACCTCTGGTATTCCACGGTCCCACGGCGCGTAGCTCAGACGCTTCAGCCAAGTGGACAGCCACGCTTCCACGCTTTGGTCTTCATCGAGCTCTTGCGGGATTGCGGCTGCCCGGATATTGCATGTCTGGAAGCAGATTTTGCTGCAGGCTTCCCCTACTTGGAACACTCAGGCACACACGAGGTTGGTTGTTGTTGCACACTCTGCAAGAGTCCGAAGACTACCTTGCGCTCAGCGCTAGGCTGCTGCAAGAAAACTTTCCTGAACTTCCTCCACCAGAAGTTCCCTCGCTTGAGCCACTCAGTGCAATCCACATCCCGAGCATCGAACAGGATTCTCAAAACTACAGCCCTAAGGTTCCCCTCGTCGAGTGCTGGGAGAGCAGCGTCAGCAGGGTTGCAGTAAATCCACTTCCAAGCGGCCAAAGCCCCAGAGGCAAGATCATCATACTTCTGGCTGGTAAGGAGCAACCTATTGCTCCTTTTCAAGTTTCAACTGCTTTGCCTCGTGGTATCAAACTTCGTGCATGATCGGATCCAGGCTGGCCCAGAATGGTTGAGGCCCTTCCCCTTTGATAGGAGGTTTCCAAGCCCTCTGTTTATGGTCACCAACCTGCTCAAATGCAGTCGAAGTACCCAAATCAGCGGAAACATCACAAGCTAGACAAGCCTTGCTTTGCCGCACATGCTCCTTGAGCCTGGAGGTGGCCCAAAACTCACGTCCACAATTAGCGCGTTGAGTGCCACCTACACATGAGAGTGCGGCGCGTATTCCGTGTGTCCTGGACATATCAGAGTGAAGATTGGCCTCCGTTTGGAAGCTCATGGTAGCAGCTGTGCGGACTAATTATGCCACGGCGCATACCAATCAGTCCTCGGCAGAGAGCCACAACACCGGCCTTGGGGGGGGTTCAGAGTACTGGTCACTGGTTCTTCTGATGCATTTTATACCCTTTGCTGCCCAAGGCTTGACAGCCCAAGTGCATACCGATGCATCCGCAGAGTTCGGAGACAACAAATGTCACGCGGGG